AGAAATATCACGAGTTTTGTGGATTAATTCAAAATATAAATGATGAATAAATTTCTTATATTTGTGTTTCATGAATATCTAGGATTGATGGACAGAATAAATATTTACTTATGTACATCAGAAGGGAGATTTACTAATTACTATAAAACCGCTCGAAAAAGAATCCCTCTTGGATATTTGGAAATCACATCAGAAAGCACATCTCGAGATGACAATCACAGATGGTTCTAGTTCGATGATCGCCGATCGAATGATGATCTGTATTTAAAATTATTCCATACGAATGGATATAGAGATCACTCTTCTTTTAAAAAAATATAATTCATAATGTTGCAAATTTGCCTTTTGAAAAAAATGTTAAATTCGAAGAGGAGTATAAAAGTCTTTGGGAGTAATGGGATCGTAAATAAGATTTAGTAGTATTTTAAAGATGATTCTTAAGATACGTTAGAGACGAGGATTTCTATTAAGAATCCATTTGCGAGATATCGAAACGACTGCAGTGTGAGGAGGAACTGGCTTTGTCGACCTTGAGAACGTCCCAATCCCAATTTATGGTAGCTGCATCGATCCGGAATCTGATAGTTGAAGAGAGAAAACGAACGTACCAACGTGTCGTTCGAGACTCTTCCACATCCGGTGCACCGGAAGCACGTTTCAAAACGAGGTCCCACGAGTTCAACCTACGATAACGAATCACGTCGATAACCACTGAAGGTACCAGAGACTCCTTTTCAAACTCCAGGTTATTTCTTTTAACGGAATAGGTCACTTGTAATCCTGTATGAAGCTTTTCTACTAAAATATATATACTAACCTCTGCGCGTTCAATATTAAAAAAATCTTCTTCAAAATTTATAGTTATTTTAGAAAAAGAAATCCATTACCCTAAAGAACAAATTTTCAACAAAACTTGATCTATTTCATAGTTTGGAAATTTAGCCAATTACTAAAGTTTCTAACTACTCAAGTTCTATAGTCGATTTACTTCATTTCCTGAGTACACTATTCCAAATAATTAATTACCGTTCGATGTACATCGCAAGGTATTTGTGAAATTTTCTTCATTGAATCATTATCTTACCTCAAAGTAACGTAAAATATGGAAAAAGAAATTTTTCAATAATAGAATTAGAACACACGATAGAGGAAAAATAAAATATATAATAAAATCTGGTTGTAAAACTAGTTGGTGTGATTATATTATAAATGTAGATCACGTCGTAATTGAAAAATTAAAAAGCAGAAATGAAAGCTTCGTGTCACGTAGAGAGTTATCGACCCCTTGAGATTTTTATATGTCTCCCTTCGGCCACGACGACAAACTTGTCAAGACTCTTCTTCGCCAGTGAACAAGGAAACCAACCAGGACCTTGTTATCCCTTAAAACTTTCCACACGTAATTTATTTAGTTCATAATTTTTTTTCCACCCTGAACTCTTGCCAATTGATCACAAAAGGAGGAAAAAAATGTTCAAAGTCTGTAGGAATAATAATATCCTTTGAGATTTTTGTATTAAGATTTGCATATAGATGGATGAAATTTTACAAATAAAGAGGGGAAATAAAACTGAAAATTTAGCACATTTTTTTCTTGTCTGTATTTTTGGTAAAATATGACATTTTATGATTCACATTTGTTATGAAAAGAATGTGGTGGGGGGAGAAGTGGAAATAGGAGGGGTAGGTTTGATCCGATTGGGGGACACTGTCATCAGGCTATGTAAGTAGCGTCACTAGCTTCTGGGACCTCAGTCGGAAGGAGGAGGCGTTCGCAGCAGCATCCTCCTTTCCTAAACTACATACAACAATTTAAATAGATTCTTAATAAAGTGTTTGGAAAATTAAAATAATTCATAGCTGTTAAAAAATTTAGATTTAAAATTATATTAATAAATATAATTTTATATCTATTTGTGAAACTAAAAATTTTTAAAAACAAGATACGTAGGATAAATTTGAAAAAAATTTCGATATTCAAAATAAAGGGATGTAAATTCACCGATGATGTACTCGTATTCTGATAACGATTGCAACAACAGGGAATAGAAAGAGAGTAATTAAGCGCAGACAGAATCCCTCTCCTACCATTTTCAGAGCCACCGCTAATGCGGATGCAACGAAAAGTAACTTCCGCTTTTTGTCTGTCACTAAAAATGAATGAGCGGCCATAAAGCTATGAAGTTACATGAACGAGCGTCGGTGTTAAATCGATTTAAGCTCCTTCGTGACAAAGTACTACGGGGGCTTCAGCTCATTTACTCTGGAGGCTTGATGCAAATTTGCCTCGTTTGATGCAAATACCGAATCCCTCTCCCACAACTCCACCCTATCCCCCCTGCCCCCTTTCGTCCGTCACCCTTTTCTCATCCACAAAGGGTGTTAGCCAAGTGAAGTGATCACAGATATTTTGCATACATGTTGCGAGAAATATTTCCTGGATATTTAAAATTTACATACATGAATACATAGAGTTTTCTTTTGCTCTTATTTCCCCAAAAACACTCTTTACTCGGAATATTACGCAAAAAAAAATTTCCCTTTACCTTTTGTAAATATATCTAATTTTTTTCCTAACCGTTCATTATAAATTATACAAAGGAAGTGAAAACGTTTTCTATATGCTTAATCTTGGGGCAAAATTATTAGTGTAATTTCTCCAGAGTTATACATCAAAAACAAACGTCTAAAGTTTATAAAATAAAATTTTTAATTACTTCCTTTGATATATAAAATATTTGAATACTTTTATTTACGGACGTTGATAGAGAAAAATAAAAAACTTAATGCATCCTTAAATTCCATATTCACGATATAATCATCATCAGAATCCAAATTATTTCCCGTCCTTTGAGAAACTGTCAATATTGAAAATTCTTTGGTGGTGCGGGATGGAAATACATTGAATTTCACAAATGTCGAACAAAATGACAAAAGGATATTTTAGATTTTGATATTGAATATACCGAAAATATTCGAAAGTGAAAAAACCATGTTAGAATGTGGATATGAAGAATAGCAATTTGGAAGCTACAAGAAAGAATCTAACGATCCGGAAAATCGTGATTTACGGAATAGTGAAGTGGGACATTGGTGAATAACAGAAGAGAGAGAAAGTCCCCTGGCATCTAAAGCTTCCCGAAAACATTCAAAATTTCTTTTCTCTCTTTTGCAGACTACACGCATAAGAAACGTTCACCACATAAAAAACGAATAAAGGATAAAAATACTGTTATATAAAACTTTCAATTCTGAAAAATAAATGTCAAATTTTCTCCTTCTAACTGAATGAATTTCATCTTTAACTATTTTGAGAGAAATATTTCTGTATAGTGGAAAAATAACAATTTGGACTTAATTTAGAATTTATCCTTTGAACATTTTAACGGGTAGGTTAACTATTGCTATTAAATTCTAGCAGATACAGTCTCATTATTGCTTGCGCAACGGATATTGAATCATGTATTGGCAATTGTTTGTGTGCACTACTTGAATTTCGGAATGTTCTCATTTCCAACTCATAGAGTAATTCAATTAGCAGGATATGTAATTGAATTATTTGCATATGAATTTGTTTTTTAGTATTATAATTTTATTCATAAATTAACATAGAATCGAAAATCATTATAGGTAGAATACAATTATTCATAAATTGTAAATTGTAATTATTTTATCTTCTTCTCTTGTCAAATTAGCACTATCCTGAATTGATGTTTGTATAAAATTTGTTGTTCCTTGAATTGAGAATGAATTCTATCCATACTGTTTTAAAAGTTTTGTTCACCGCCATCCATAATTTATCTTAACCCTGAAATGGAAATATGATCTGTTTACCTCCTATTTATTTCTTTATAAATCAAGATCCCTCAGTCGTTTTGGACCATACATAGGTAACAAGATAAGTTTTCCGTTCTAGGGTTAACCTTCATGATTGGTGACCACTATTTGTTAATTTCATATCCTATTTGTTAGTAATATTAAATTTTATACAAATACATTATTATAATAAGTTTTTTTTTATTTTAGTAAATTTCGTTTGGGTAATAATTATTATTACATGAGAAAGAGAAACGGTAATCTATTTGCAGTTTACAATATTTACAAAACTAACAGGATTATATAGTATTTGGTTATTCCGCATAGTACGAAATATAATATTATATTTATTAATAACATTGGTTTATTTACAATTGAAGACAGTAACGTGGTATTAATTAAATACTTATTCAAATTAATCCAGTTTTCATATATCAGTAATTTATTAAATTAATTGAAAAATATTAATTTAAAAACGGAATGGTAATTAAAAATAAATTAGTTGAATATGTTTGTTAGCTCATTCAGTATATTATTCATCTAATGGAAAAACATTTAAAGTGGCTTCAATATTCGTGTTTGGATAGAAAAGTAAATTTTCTCAATATAAAGGATTTCGAGTTTGATCTGCGTAGGAAAATGAGAGAAATACAGAAAAGATGTGAATTCCTCTCTTTCTTTGTTTTATGTTTTCTCTCATGTAAGTTTGTGTCTCTTGGTGTCTCTCTCTTTCTCTCTCTCTCTTTCTATCCCTTTCGATAACACGACAGTACATTGCGACACTCTATCCGACAAAATCGATTCCAGATTTCAATTTAATGCCATCGCAAGATATCTGAAGCACGATCTTCCCAATACCAATTTCATGTTATCAGCTTTTCCGGACCAGTAAAGAATATTACCCCAACCCTTCAAGTTCAAATTCAGCTACGTATGCCAAAGCAAAAAAAAGGTCAAAAAGATCTGATTTTCTCAATCCATAAAACGCGAATCATAATTTTATTATTTGATAAATTACCAAGACATATTTTTTGTCATCAGTTATTTTCTGTAATATTAAATCCCACCGTATTATGACTAGGGTCCCAATAATAATGATTAATTATTAATTATTTTATAAAAGAATTTTTCTTGAATAATTAGAAGAGAATAAATTTAATATTTTCTTTTATTTTCTGTTACAGTTCCGCCAGAAAGAATTGTGATATCAAATGAAAATCGCGAAGTAAGAAATTCTAAGGTTGGTCCCTACACGGAGGGTGATGCTCTGAAACTCTCTTGTAATGTATATGGAGGTAAGTGTCTGATAATTAGAACAGAGGTAACAATTTAATAACTATAATTACATTCCTAACTATAAATTTCATTTAGAAAATGTCATCTTGATTTTCAATTAACATTTTCTAATGACTCGTATAAGGAAAAACACCAATAAATATATTTTTGTGGGGGGCGCATGATTATTCCCCAAATGTCATTTTACCGAACTGCACTTTTGCGAATACTCATTTTTGCGAAAAGCCACTTTTGCGAATTGTCATTTTTTCGAAAAGCTATTTTTGCGAATTGTCATTTTTGCGAATCGCCATTTTTACGAATTGTCAATTTTCCGAAAAGTTATTTTTGCGAATCGCCATTTTTACGAATTGTAATTTTTTCGAAAAGTCATTTTTGCGAATTGTCATTTCTGAGAAATGTCATTTTTGCGAATTGTCACTTTTGCGAATCACCATATTTACGAATTGCCATTTTTGCGACAAATCATTTTTGCGAATTGACATTTTTGCGAATTGTCACTTTTGCGAATAGCCATTTTTACGAATTGCCATTTTTACGAGTTGTCATTTTTCCGAAAAGTTATTTTTACGGATTGTTATTTTTGCGAATTGTCATTTTTGCGAATCGCCATTTTTACGAATTGTCAATTTTCCGAAAAGTCATTTTTGCGAATCGACATTTTTACGAATTGTCAAATTTCCGAAAAGTCATTTTTGCGAATTGTCATTTTTGCGAAAAATGCAATAGAAAACTTGTAAGTCTATAAATTCACTATTGTATTTTTCGCAAAAATGACTTTTCGGAAAATTGACAATTCGTAAAAATGTCGATTCGCAAAAATGACTTTTCGGAAAATTGACAATTCGTAAAAATGGCGATTCGCAAAAATGACAATATGCAAAAATAACAATTCGTAAAAATAACTTTTCGGAAAAATGACAACTCGTAAAAATGGCAATTCGTAAAAATGGCTATTCGCAAAAGTGACAATTCGCAAAAATGACATTTCTCAAAAATGACAATTCGCAAAAATGTCAATTCGCAAAAATGGCAATTCGTAAAAATGGTGATTTGCAAAAGTGACAATTCGCAAAAATGACATTTCTCAAAAATGACAATTCGCAAAAATGTCAATTCGCAAAAATGACTTTTCGAAAAAATTACAATTCGTAAAAATGGCGATTCGCAAAAATAACTTTTCGAAAAATTGACAATTGGTAAAAATTTCGATTCGCAAAAATGACAATTCGCAAAAATAGCTTTTCGAAAAAATGACAATTCGCAAAAGTGGCATTTCGCAAAATTGGCTTTTCGCAAAAATGACTATTCGCAAAAGTGCAGTTCGGTAAAATGACATTTCGGAAAAATGACATTTGGGGAATAATCATGCGTCCCTTTTGTGGTTGCCTCCGTTGCTCTGTCAGTTTTACAAACAATGTTAATTCGTTTCATCTTTCTATCGCTCTTGATTAAACCTGACTTTTCCCACACATACTTTAAACTTCTCCCAAAAAAATTTTAACTTAAACCCTTTGTTATTTTACGAGAAAACGAATTTTTAAATTAACCTAGACGTGATCAGAAGAGCAAAAAATCCCATAGTATTAAATTTCACTTGCTTGATTCAAAACAATTCAAAAAATAAATCAATTGTATAACTGATAGAGCGAAAAAGAGAAAACATTCAAAAAATTTTTTTCTCTAAAATCAATGCCCATTGTTGAAACAAATGAAGCACTTATTTGACAATTGGAAATTGTTGACCACCTATAAAAAAAATAGAGAGAAAAATCGCAGAAACGTTTGCAATACGCTGATAAAAGAAAATAAATTGTTGTTTTCAGGTAAACCAGCGCCAACAGTGACCTGGTATCGTAATGACAATTTTGTGACCAACAAAACAGTGACAGTGCACAACCATGACGGAGTGATACGTAGTGACATCGAGATAAAAAATTTGGGACGTGCTGATGTTCGTTCCGAACTGACCTGCAACGCAACGAATAACAATAGGTCGCTACCTCTATCCTCAACAGTACACGTTGATATGAATTGTAAGTATTCATATTCATACTAGCAATTCATACTGCAAACCGGCCGGAATATTAAATTACGAAATTATACAGAGTCATGTACAGAAGCGCTTATCGAACTGAGAGTGAGATTGATTTCGAACAGTTGACATTTATCTCATATCTACTATATACATATATACACACTGAATTTGTTTAGGCGAATAATATTTTAACGCCCCTATAGTCTCAGTATAATCTCGTTCTGCAAAATTCTACTATACGAAAGTAATATCCGAAAGGGCTAAAAATGATTAAGTTTGCCCGATGCCAGTTCAAGAAGGTAAAAGTAAATTTACAAAGGAATATTTAATTTGCAAATGTTTAATTATAAATTTGGGTACTGAACGTGCAATGTATAAGCTGGGCTCCACAATTTTTACTTATTATCTGCAACGCCGTGTTCTTAGATTCAAACTGCTAAGGTGAGGCGCGAAAGCAGAATGACGCTGAAAACTCTTGATCCTTCTTATATACCAAGCCTAGTGGTGGGGGGTTGCTTCCTGATTGGCTGCGATCGCCGATCAATCAGCTATCGTAACCCCCCACCCTTTCTAGTTCTCAGTATATAAGACAGAACCCCGAAAATCAGAACTCTGTTCAAGGAGGAGAAGAAAAAACAAGACGTCTTCAATGACGGCACTAAACTCGAGATCAAAAGAAATGTTAAACATTTAGGTTATTACTTAGACCATAAATTATCACATAATTATCATATTAAAGAAATTAAGAAAAAAGCATATATTGTAGCTGCAATGCTATATTATTTAATAGGTAGGACAAGCACTCTCTCATTAAAAAATAAATTAATTTTTTTATAAACAAGTTATAAGACCGGTCCTACTCTATGCAGTTGCAATTTGGTCAAATACAAGCGAAACTCAATACAGAGGGCTTCAAATTCTTCAAAACAAAATACTTAGAGACATGATAAAAGCTAGTCCAAAAATCTCAAATAAGACTGTGCATGAAACTTGTGATATAGAATTAATTAAAGATTATATTTTTATACAAACAAAAAATTTTTATAATAATATTAAAAATATAGAAGAGTTAAAAAAGAGGAACTAATCATCTACAAGAATAAAAGTCAATTTCCTTTTAGAACTACCTATAAATTTATAAACATCACACTCTACTACATAATTAATTAGGACACAACACAAAATGGTCCTAGGAAAACACGTAAACAATTGTAGTTCTGTACATACGTATAATAAATTTTTTTTTTTTTTTTAGTTTTAGATTAAAAAAACATACCATCCATAACTAAATCTATAAATACGTAAATAATATAATAATAATACAGTTACAATTTAATTTAAAAAACAAATAACAATTTCAACAGAATAAAATACACCCGATTTTACAGCTTTAGTAATATTTCCAAAAAAGTAACAAAACAGGTATTTCATTTTTACCATAAAATCCTTACCGACATCTGAAATAACAAAATTCCATTTCGAAATTGAAAAATTACGAACCACATATATAAAATGATGGCAATTTCAATAGGAAATAAATTTCCATTTCTCAAAGGAGATCCCACTAAAAAAAAGGGAATCCTTTCGTGAAAATCTTTCTTTACAGTAGTAATAAGTGAAGAGAATCGCGTTTATTTCGACCCCATGTGGAAACTTAAAACTTTAAGGGTCATCGTAAAAGGTATAGGGAGTGAAGGTAGTCTTCGATTTCTTAGACAAGATGCAAAGAGAATATAAAATCTTCAACCGTAGGAGACTAAAAGAAAAAAAGTAATCATCTTTGCAGAAAAATGTACAATAATTTTCCAACTCTATAGAAATAGTATAGTGGTTTTTTTAACAATCCTTTTTTTATCCCTTGTTTTTAGTTTTCTCCTATTTTTTCTTTCATTCTCTCTTGGTAAAAGTCACTTTCCTAAAGCTATACGCGGCGAGAAAGTTTAAGCCTCGTGAAAAATGCAAAGCACCCAAGGGGAATCCCTCGAAACCCTCCGAGCGTAACCTTCGCAAATTGTACAGTCCATCTTGATTTCATAATACGTACAAATAATAAATACCCATATATGTTTATATACCTATATATAACACATATGTGCACTATGTTTGTTTTTTTCCAAAAAAAAGTCCCTTAAAAATTATTTCTATCTAACTTTATTTCTCCTTTATTGGAGCTTTGGGATTGTAAAAATTCCTTTCATCAAATGAAAAGAAGTTTATTCTAAAAATATTCAAAAAAAATGTGTTCAATTTACATTTGAAAACCGAATTTGACAAATTAAATTTAAATTTTAAGATTATTTAAGTTTAACATAAAAATAGAGCTTAGAAATTTTGCATTTCTCTAAAAATGTAACATAAGGAAATTCCGGATATTTTTAATTCAACAAAAATTAAAGAAAATGGTAAAATTTTGATTGATTTTCATTTCATGGTGGTACGTGATGCGTTGGAAATGAAAAGACAGGATATGAAGGGAAAATGTTTCCGGGGCAAGTGGTACCTGGGAATGATTTTGATACAAATAACTTGAATCTAAATTGAGATTGCCGAAATAGGGATGGACGAAGGGTTAAATTAATGGGCGGTGTACGTCCTTTTTGTATTTCAATTATAAAGAAGGATTTCCAACCTATAGCACAATAGAGATTGGACAGAATTAAAAATATTAAAATAAAATTCAATTAATACTATTACAGGGTTGACACAAAAATTTAATTTTTTTCCCTTACTTTTCCCTGATTTCTACAAAAAATTTTGACTTTTTCCCTGACCCTAAAGATTATTTTGATTCACTCCAAAAATTATTAGATTTTCAAAAAAATGTTCAAACCTTCTGAAATTCAATAACTTTTGAGAATAATATTATAAAACATGAAGAAATCGATCATTCCGAGTCTTCGACTCGAAGTGATCGTTTCCTTTATGTTTTATAACAAATTTAAGATGACAGAGTGATTAAATCATTATTTTATATCATCAGAATATTGTAACTATAAACTCAAATTTTCAAAGATTTTAATTTGAACCCTTTTCAAAATTCAATTATTTCTTAACATTCACGCTATAATGCTTCTAATATTCATTTATAATTTAACATTTTAAGTGAAATTCATTTTTTAATCAATTTTGCTTCCTCATAGAGGAAGGATTGTATTAGCAAAATTTTCGATTGTGATTTTTTGACATATTTATAAATTTTTTTTCGTTATACCTAATCTTTTAGTACTTTATGTACGAATGGGCCCGATTCATAAAGTTTAACTATATTTTTTTGCATTTTTCATTTTGTAAAAAAACGTTTTTTGGCCATAACTTAAAAAAAATGTTAGGGCACCTATAAATGTTTTTCTTTAGTTTTGTAGAGTTTTTCAAGACGCATCTTTTGAGTCTTCATTGAACATTTTTCTTTTATATTAGCCAGAGATATTAAAGTTTTAAAAATCTAAATTTTTCGAAAATAACACTTTTTGAAAATTTTGTTGAAAAATATAAAAGAAACTTTAAAAGTTTCATTACCAACTTGTAGAGCATTAAAAAAGGCTTCGATTGACCTATTTTTGAACCTGATTCGGTGAAAAATTATCGAATTATTGGTATTTGAAAAATCAAAAATTGTGGAAAATATAATTTTGTCAACATTCTTATTTATGTGTAATTATTAAACTATTATAACCATCTTATAGAATATATAAAAATATATTTTTTAGACCAAGATTTAATGATTTTTAACTCTTTTATAAAAATTAATTCTTATATATTTCAATTATTATTATTTCTATGAGGAAGCAAAGTGTTCATGAAATGAACATTAAAATTATAAAAATGTACCACTTGGCAGCGGTTTTATTAGTAAATTATTCGAGAATTCAATTATTTAAATACAAAAATAAATAATTTATTAAATAATTGAATATTTCTTAAAATTGAAGTTTTATGAAGAATTTTATCAAAAATTTTTTTAAATAATTAAATTCTATCGGCGAATTAAAAAAAAATTTATAAGAATAAATGCAATTTTCTATCATTTTATTTAAAATTGTACAAAAAATAATTTAAATTCTGCAATAAGTTTTGTTATTTATGAAAATAATTAAATTCTTGCAACGAATTTTATTAAAAATTTTTATAAAGAATAGAATTCCTGTGAAGAATTTTATTTGTGAAAATAATAATTGAATTCCGGAGAAAAATATTATTATTTATAAAAATAATTAATATCTTGTGAAGGATTTTATTCAAATTTTTTTAAATAATTGAATTCTCGAGAAAAATTTTATTATTTATGAAAATAATGGATTTCTTGTGAAGAATTTTATTTATTTATTTATTTCAAGTATCAACGGGCTTACATAATAAAAAACGCCCTTTCGTACAAAGTACTAATATATAAGAAAAGAAAAAAAGAAAAAAGAAAAAAAGAGAATATTAATTACAATGAATAGTTAATTAATTATTTGATTACGCTGTGTAATTTTATTCAAATTTTTTTAAATAATTGAATTCCCATAAAAAATGTAATGTTTGTGAAAATAATTGAATTATATAAGAAAATTTTATTAAAATAACAATTTTATAAACTAAATCTTGGAAAGAATTTTATCAACATTTTTTTAAATAATAGTATTTTTAAAAGAAGTTTATTTAAATTTTTAGAAATAATTGAATTTCTCAGAATTATTTTTTGGAATTTTCTGAATATATTTGAATTCCTTCGAGAAACTTCATTAAAAAATTGAAAATAATTGAATATGTGCGAAGAAATTTATAAAAAAAATTGATAAGTAATTGAATTCCTGTGAAATTTTTATTAATATTTTGTTTACATAATTGAATTCCTTTGGAAATTTCTTTTAAAATAGTAGATATTATAAATAATTAATATGAGGAAAATTTTTGAAAATAATTGAAATTTTAATGATAATTTTTTTTAGTTGTTAAACATAATTGAATTTATGCGAAGAAGTTTATCACTTTTAAAAATATAATTGAATTTCTATA